TATCTTTTAATTTTACGGGACGTATCTTCTTCCATACTGGTCTCCGTCTCGTTGGCTTCTGCTTCATATGGGGTTCATCTGCTTCATCAGGAAATGTCCTATCGTCGATAACGGCCACATCAGTGGTAGTAACTTCACCAAGAGCTTCACTGTTTCCCTTCTCAAAACCGAGTAGAGTTTCTTCTTCGACGGTGGCTTTTTCAGGTGACACGTCTTCAGAAGCGTCATTTGTTCCTTTGTTCACTTTGTCCCAACTGAAATGTCCTGGACTGTGATAACGCCAAAGCCTGTTGGCATGCACCTCTTTTGGCTTACCTCGCCGACCACATTTTATCCGGAAAGTCACGTCTGAGAGACAATCCACTATGTTATATGGGCCTTCCCATGGAGAAGACAACTTAGGAGACTTCCCTTTGGTCTTCCTGGGATTATTCAATCACACCTTGTCCCCTGGTACAAAGCTGACTTCAGTAGATCTCTTATCATTAGATAACTTCATCGAATCAGCAGACGTTTTCAAGTTTGGACGCACTTGATGGTGAATATTATCCATCTTTTCCCAAAACACTTTCACGATTTCTGACACATTTTCAGGCAACACTTCATAAGGTGGGCGTCCTGTTAACAGATCCACTGGCAACCGAAGTTCCCGACCAAACATCAACTTTGCTGGAGTGTATCCAGTGGCTTCATGCTCTGCTGTCCTATAGGCCATGAACAGTGGAGGGAGTAAGACATCCCAGTCATCTTGGTGTCTATTACAAAACTTTGCCAATTCCTGTCCCAGTGCCCAGTTGTACTTTTCTACCATCCCATCAGACTGTGGGTGAAGTGGAACACAGCTGATTCATAGTTACGGCCTTGATCAGAATGCAGTGCATATGACATACCAAATCTGAAGAAGAAATCACTAATACCCAAAGCTACTTTTGTAGCTTCCTGATTTGGTATTGCATATGCCTCAGACCACTTGGTGAAATAATCCATCACCACACAAATGTACCTGTTTCAGGCACGAGTTTGAGGCAAAGCACCAGCAATGTCAACGGCTACTCTTTCCATTGGGGCGCCAACTTGATATAACTTCATTGGAGCACGTCCCTTGTGCTTGGGTCCCCTTTAGCACAACATGTACTGCATGTCCTGCACCATTCTTCCACATCTTGCCTTATACCTATCCAATAAAATCTCTGTCGTAGGTGACTCAATGTCTTCTTAACTCCGAGATGTCCTCCTCTTAAAGTATCATGGGATTGACGCAACACAACTTCCTGTAACTTTCTCGATTTAACCGTTTGCCAAAGTCGTCACTTTCCCTTCTGCAGTTTCCCATCTCAGGAGAAGAATACCATCTTCAAGCTTCGACTGGTACCATTGTGCCCAATAGTTCTTTGTCACAGGGCTTAGACTAGACGCCTTC